TACCCCTTCCCCCAGGTGCTCTGTCCCAGGGAGATGGAAGTTTTATCTATAAGCCCCTGCCTGGGCTGCTGCCTTTCTTTCAGAAATGTCCTGCCCAGAGAGGAGGAATTTAGAGAGGCAGTCTGGCTACAGCAGCTTTACATCTATATTTTTATAAGTATAAAATTAGAAGCTAATTAGATATAATGAATGCTCAAGTAAAGTAGACATATTTTCACATTTACATCTATTTCCAAATTTTGTGATACTGAGCTTGTAAGGAAGTTTAGTTCTGCTATTTGCTGCATTTGCTTTTCAACAAAAATTGTACTCAGTAATTTTCACCAGACTATGTAAGGGCACTTAGCTTGTTGATAACTTTCATCAGCATTGTGTAGCTATACAAGTTATACACTATTTTAAGGTTATTCCCATCCCAATTTAGGCCTTAATTATTACTGTGCAGAAAACATTTTGCTGCAGCAAAATGTCTCTAAATCAAAACAGAAGTCAGGATTCAGGTGACAGCAAATATAATTTAAAATAAATAAAATTTCACATAAATATCCTCTCTCTCTCTCATCTCTCATCTTCTCTGTCTCTCCCCACCTCTTTGTCTCTTTCTGTCTCTCTCATACACACAAACACACACGCACACGTGCATGCACACGCACGCACACACACACACACACACACACACACATTCTTGCCTCTAAAAAGAAAAGTCAATCATCCTCCATTGAGAGAGTTGTGAATCAAAGGTTTCTTCTGCAGGAGTTCCATCCATCTCTGAATTTCCTAGAGAGCAGCAAAGGGTCTTGTGTTTTATTCCCCTTCCACACTTAATCACTGGAATGTGGGCCCAGACTGAATGAGTAGCTCATTCGAATCACTGAGTTCACTGAGGTGATGAGATATTCCTTCCTGGCTGGGTGGTAAGTGATACTCCCATATGGGTTTTGTGGTTACGAAACATGTGCTGGATATGGAGGTAACCTGTCTGGGAGAGTCCTGTCACTCCAAGAATCACCTGGAATGCTCTGGCAAAACACCTGACCTGGCTGAATGAGTTCTGTTGAATTGTTTAGCCTATGCTTTCATTTCAGCAACTTATACTGCATTAATGAGGTTATTGTTCATTTGCCGTGCAATTGTTTCCAAGCTGAGTTTTGCATGTATGTTTTACATCCTTAACAAGAATGCCTGTCTCCTGCTGTTTCAGAGTCTCTTTCACAGTGCTGAGCAGGAGTGGAGCTTGCTAAATCATTGCTAAGTGAAACAATAGCCTGTAAGCATGTCCCGTGGGATCTGCATCTTCAGATCATCCTGAACTACTCAACAACCACATCTTCTTCCAGGAAGAGAGCCCTACATAAACTGGTAGGGTTTGCTCTCTTAGACAGCTAAGAGAACGAGGAGTGCAGCTAGCGAAGAAGAAGGCAGTGAAGGGGGCAGTTCCTTAATGCTACCAGATTCCCAGCTGAATTTCAACAGTCTCAGAGGCTAGCATTTTGGGTAAATATCCCAGTATACTTGTTACAGAGTTAAGTAAAATGGACTTTCTTCAAAGGAAGTGCTTTTAATACAATAACTGTTTTTGTTTTTTTAACCAATAGATTAAAATTTTAACACATTTACTAAATCTGGCATATTTATATATTGTATCTAAACAGACATTCAAGCTGCATTATAATATAATAATAATAAAAAAAAGATCTCAGTCTGTCTGTTAAGCCTTTGTGAGTCTTTGTGCCATTGTTGCAGTAGTGCTAATTATCAAGCAAAGACATGATAATTATGCAGAGCTTTTTAGCTAAAAGAAGGAATCTTGTTCAACACCCACGCACCGCACAATTTCCTATGACCCAGTAGCAGTACTCTGGTATGGCCCAGAAATTTGTATTTCAGTTTAAATGTTGGAGATTATATTATTTCTTTCTCTCCCCATACCTTTTCTTCTTGTGAGTAAACTGTTTTTAGAAGGTTAAGGGAGAGGGGTAATGGTCCAAATGGGAAATATAAAACTAATGACCCTTCGTGAAATATATTATGCTCCTCATTAAACTTACTCAGTTAAATGTATTCCATTAAATTAAAATAAATAGGATTTAAAATTTTACCCAGGAGTAGTAAATGATCTTAACTTTCAACTTCATGTTAGATTCATTCTAAGAATGAATTCAAGTCCCTGACGTATCATAGGTCCTTGGCCTCCAACACAATTTATGTACTAGTGCTGCAGAGGTTTTCAAATTTAGTGTGTCTAAGAATCACTTGGGGAACTTTTTATAAATGGAACTTCCAATCCAGATGCCCCCTTCTCCACCAAGTATCCTAATTTCAGTGATCAGCACTTTGAAAAAATACTCCATACAAAGGTGATGTAAATTTTATCAAGCTTAGCGGTCCTACCTTACTTCTTTTTCCATGATCTCTGTTATTACTAAAATGTGGGAAAGCCAAATATGTGAAGAATGTGTGATTCAGGGAGTTGAATAGGATGGACCCACAACGTGTTAGACTTTCACGTTACGTTCATCCAAATAACTGAGCCATTGAACCTCTAGATTTGACCCAGGAGACTTGAAGTTTCTTTTGGAGAGATTCAGAGATTTAACCACTGATGTTAAGAAAATGGAGCCGGTGCTTTACTCTTGTTTTACAAGTACCACTTTTTAAAAAATTATAATCTTGCAAAGCACTGTGAAATTCAATGCCTTCATTTTTGAGATGAGAAAACTTCAGCCCAGAGAGGTACTCAACTCACCACACAGCACGAAAGTGCAAGACAAGGATTCAAAAGAAAACCAATGAGTCTTAACCCAGGGTTCTTTTTGTGGCTTTTAAAGAAGTCCGACTTTCAAATATCTACCTGTCAAAAAATGTAAAGTTTTCATACAATATACGAAGTGGGTTTTCTTTTTGTTTTTGTTATTAAAGAGACAGGATCTCGCTCTCTCACTCAGACTGGAGTGCAGAGGGACAATCGAGGCTCACTGCAGCCTTGACTTCCTAGGCTCAAGCCATCTTCCCGCCTCAGTCCCCCAAGTAGCTGGGACCACAACTGCATGCCACCACGCCTGGCTAATTTTTGTATTTTTTGCAGAGATGGAGTTTTGCCATGTTACACAGGCCGGTCTCAAACTCCTGAGCTCAGGCAATCCACCTACCAAGGCCTCCCAAACTGTTGGCATTATAGGCATGAGCCACCACACCCAGCCAACATATGAAGTTTTAAGTTGCCTTCAAGTCATATAGTATATTCCCAAGAAAAAGCCCCAGAAGATGAATTTTCTAGGTTTTAAATTCCTTTAAGAAAGCAAATTTTAGAAGTCAACATATTTTCAGTTGGCTCATTATGGTTCTACTGCATTTCACATGACATTAAGGACTAGAACAGCTCTAATCTAATGATAAATTGCATCTCAAATTCTTGTTACCCTGACTTTTGTTATAACAGTTTTTGTAATGAGATGGAGTTTTGAGTAAACAGTTGCTTTGTTTTTTGAATTTATTTTATATATGTATTGGCACGCGCGCGTGCACACACACACACACACACACACACAAAAGCACCACCACCGAGATCTGACAACTAACTAGTTCTGTTCGCCTTCATATTTTTGTACTTTCACACTTACATGTATATATGAATAAAAAACCTGTCTGAAATGCATAGGTAAATTGTATCAGTGATCTTAAATTTCAAGATCAAGGCAAGCACACAATTCAAATTATCAATAATAAACTAAAATGATGCATAGTATTTTAACCACATATCACACTAGGTCTATTTACCATTCACTTTTGTTTCTCTGAAATTATTTCCTTGGCCTTGTTAGGCAAACATAAGATAAAATAATCAGCTCAATACTTCTCAAAAACTTTCAAATAAAAACAACAAAAAAATGAGAATTAGTCTTAGACAATTGTAACAGGTAAAAGGGAGATGGATGTGGGAGGCATATTAATTTGATCAGGATTAGCACTGCATTTTCTCACAATATGGAACCGGTCTAAGGAATGACATGAATGACGTGTACTCTGGCAAACGGACTCTTGAGTACGTACTTTTGAAACACTTATTTTCTTTTCACTCTGAGAAAGCAGGCACAATATAGGCAAGCCAGGGTAGACAAATAGATGAAGAAAACAGGCAGATAGGAACCATTCTTATTATACCTCTTTTTTTCTTGGTTTCGTAGTCTTAGTCATTGCTCATGAAGGGTACTACAAGTATTTAAAAGGATAGATGCTGAAAACGTTTAAAAAGTTTCAGCCAAAACTGTATGGTATGTTACTTATGCTAACACATCCAAAACATTTTTGACTTTCAACATCATGCTAATTTATTTTTGGCACAATAAGACAATTTTTTAAATATGACATTGATTAAACACTGAGCTAACATTTAGAAATTCATTTTCATCTGATTTCTGATTCTGTGTAAATTAACAGTTTTCCTTGATATATAAAATGATATAATTTTTAGGAAAAAACATTTCTAGGAGAAAAATTGCCTTTACTCTTCCAGCAAGAAAGCATTCAGAGTAATGAATTAGAAAGAAGAGACATAAATGGAAAAACTGAAAGTCTATGGTTGGGGTGAGTTCATTTTTTAATACCCTTTTTTTTTTTTTTTTTTTTTTTGAAGATGCCGGTAAACTATTATATACCTAAAAGAAGTGATAGGAAGTCTCTAAAATGTGGATGAGCTATTCCCTGGCCAGAGTTTCCAACCATGGTGTCTTGATACAAGCTGTGGACGACGATCACTTGCAAAAGATGGGCCGAATCGTCTGACACTGGTAGTCGATTTCTGGCAAGGACCAGATCCTGCATGGTCTCTATCATCATATCACTCTAACTTTTGAGGGGAAGGGAAAAAGTGGAGTAAGAGTTGAGATAGATAATAATCCTGGGTCTATCTGTGGAACTGTGAACGTGTGTGTGTGGCAGGGGGAGGTCTAAACACCCCGCGGCTTGTGGAGGCCTGGGGCCCACCGCGCATGCTCTCTCACCTCCACGATGTCTGAGTTTGTCCGGCTCTCATGCGGCTCATTGTACTCCGTGTACTTGAGAAGCACTTTGTCCATATCGGTGCTGGCATACTGGAACAGCTTGTTGGTGCTGTTGAAGATGATCAGCGCAATCTCACAGTCACACAGCACGCTCAGCTCGTAAGCCTTCTTCATCAACCCAAATTTCCTCTTTGTAAATGTCACCTGGAAAACAGAAAGCGGCCGAGATTTTTTTAAAAGTATTCATGCGTGTGTGGTGTTTTCTCTTTCTTCACAAAACAATGGTGTGTACTTGCCAGAGCCCTTAGGCACTAACACATTTAGAAAGAAAACAAATAAATCTAAAATTAAGTTCTGCTTATCATTTGAAAATGTGTGATTTCTAGCTTGTTGCTGAATGTAAAACTGTAAATGCAAGATTTAATGAAGGGAATTTTAATGAAGGTGACCGGGGAACTGGTCATGTTTCTTTGAGCAAGTTAAGATTTAAAAAAAAATTTTTAAGTTCAGCATGGTTAACATCTTCCACAATTACTAATTAGTTTGGAGCTTGTTTTTGACTATTCGAAGAGTGGATATGACATTATGAACTTAGCATTTTAGATCTGTGTTCAAAAAAGTCTTAAAATTGTTTAGTCTCATGTCATTTAATTGAAAACACTTGAAGGGACATGACAGTGCTCCCAGACAATGTTGTATTCTTTTTTTGTTTGTTTGTTTTTAAATATATATATTATTGCGTTTTAGGTTTTGGGGTACATGTGAAGAACATGCAAGTTGTTGCATAGGTACATACATGGCAATGTGGTTTGCTGCCTTCCTCCCCATCACCTATATCTGGCATTTCTCCCCAAGCTATCTCTCCCCAACTCCCCACCCCTCACTGTCCCTCCCCTTGTTACCCGACACAGATCTCAGTGTGTGATGCTCCCCTCCCTGTGTCCATGTGTTCTCATTGTTCAACACCCTAGAAACCCAACAGGGCATTGGGAAGTCCTTAGCCATAATATTCTTAGGGTTTTGGTTTCATTTTCCTGCGTATCTTTCTTCTCTCAGGCCAGAAACTGTATGGTCAATGCCACTTTTTTTTTTTTTTTCCGTTTAATCTAATATATTACCAAGATCCATAATTTCTTTCTTCAAAATATTTCTTAGGTTCACACTTATTTCCCAGGCGACTCTATCTCTCATGCCTTATCACTTCAATTTTGGACAGCCTAGCAGCTTCCTGTCCTAGATGATCTTCCTGCCTGGAATCATTCCTTCCTCAATTGATCTCAAACTGCAAAGCCTCACTCTTCCTGCTGTCTTTCTCCTGATGAGCTGTCTACAACAGCTCCCTCTCCCTAACTTTGAAAACTTCCTACCTGCCAATCCTACCAAATGCAAAAATATATTTCAGTCTTCCCAGTTTCAGCCCTCTTTTAATTGAACTACAGCTTGTCGCTCCGGTCTGGCTACTGAAAAGGCATGTACATTCTTAATTATAAACCTTTATATGGTCCGGTGTTCCCCAGCAGGTATTCTGTAGAGTACTGATCCTATAAAATACTCCTTAAGAGAAAAGTTCAATGGACCAATCGGTTTGGAAAATGAGGGACATTGGTATATTAAAGGCTATAAACCTTTTAAACTTTGTTCAACCTGCTTTTGAAACCTATTGCTGACAGATTGCTTCTTTGCATGTTTTTTTTTATTTTTTTATTTTTTTATTTTGAGGAGTACTTCCTATCACTCCTCAGAACTAGGTTTTTGAGGCACATATTCTGGGAAAAGCTAATTTACTTAATAAGCTATTGTTTTCAGAAGGAACCATTTAAACTTTTTTCTTACCTTCAAATCCAACCCACCTTGTATAGGCCAGCTCATTTTGTCTACCACGGATTTGCGTGTAATTCCTAATTGCACATTCTTACCCTTCAGATTTCTCTTTTTTTCCAGACATCCAATGTATGTCCTCTAGTTACCTGTCTGAACATCCTGGAATCTCAACCCCTCCAGAGCTCAACCTCGTTATCTCCAGTCTAGAATCTGTTGCCTCTTTCGGAATCCCTATCTCACTGTAAACTCAGTTATCCAAACTGGAAACCTCAGAGAGAACACCCCCCGCCTTCTCCCACTCCCCATCCTCCCCCATGCATAAATAGATTTATGTTGGCAGAGACTGTGCGCTAGCAGACAGAAAGCCTGACCTCCCAGTCTCCTCATTCCTCCACATTTTGTTAATTATTGTTTTACTTATTATCTTTTATTTTTCCTAAATGTTATTAATCACATTTTATATTTTCAAACATGCAAAATGAACACAAAAATATTCAAAATATACAAAAATGTGTATATTTTCCTGTGAAATAGGGCGTGTCCCACAGGGGCATATGCCGTCTTTATTTTGCTCACTACTGTATCTCCAGTGCCTAGACCAGTAGAGATGTGTGGCAGATGGTAAAACTCTGGGGTATAAAAACCTGATAGGGGAAACTACTATGAAGTCTTCAGAAACATGCAAGTTGATGTATGTTATATAGATGGTACATTTTCCCATGAAAATTTTGTAACAACTCATACACAAAACTTTTTAACAACACGTCTATTCCTTAATAATAATTATATTATTTTATCACATTGAAGGTAGCATGGTAGAAAGAAAAGAACACAGGGTTTGTATTCAAAGAACCCTAGGTCTGAATGCTGAATTTGCTAGTCTTGCAAAATTCACTTTATTCCTTCTCCTTCTCTTTCTTTTTGAGACAAGGTCTCCCCATCACCCAGGCCGGAGTGTAGTAGTACTGCTATAGCTTATTGCAGCATCCACTTCCCAGGCTCAAATGATCCTCGTGCCTCAGCCTCCTGAGTAGCTGGAACTACAGGCATGCGCCAACTTGTCTGGCTTTATCTTTATGTTTTTAAAAAAAAATTTAGTAGAAATCAGGTTTCCCTATGCTGCTCAGGCTGGTCTCAAACTTCTGAGCTCAAGCAATCCTCCCACTTTAAGCCTTTCAAAGTGTTAGGAATTACAGGCATGAGCCACCCTGCCTGGCCTCACTTAATAAAGTTCTTTGAGTTTGATTTTTCACATCTGTAAAACAGAGATTTATACCTAGTCTTAGGCTGTGGTGAGATTGTATCCAATAATGTATGTACCATATCGAGTATAATGCTTAGAGTAGGTACTCAATAAATATGACTTTCCACAACTTTCTTAATTAACAGGAAAAGAACTAGCAAAATATGCTTGTCTTGGTGACTGGAAGAGTCTACCAATTATGGCTGAGGATGTTATTATGATTAATAGAAAGATAAAGCTGAGCTATCGAAAGATAAAGCTGAAGTGATCATCCTTTGGAAAATAAGGTACTTACTAGCCCGTATCAACTAGTCAATATTTACGCAGTTATGTTATTAACATTTCAACTTGGATAAAACTTCTTTGTGGTAATTGTCAGTGTCTTATCTTCTATTTCATCTTTATTGATTCTCTTTCTAAAGTACTTATGATAAAATACAGCTAGTGTTTTATTTTCATGTCTGATTATCATATTACTTTAGAAATTTTTATTCTGTTTTATTCAGATGAGTCATAATTGATAGTAAGGATAGGCTGAAAACTATCTTTTTGGAATGAATAAAGAAACATAATCATTAATTACATAGAGCTGTACTAAATGTCTTTTAATATTTCTTTTAGATGCAATTTTGATATGAAACTATACCTGCATATTGGCATTTTATTTAGTAAAATAGGCTACAGAACACATTCAATACAGAAGGCGCTAATCCAGACTACTTTCATATATCTAAAGCCACTTTTAATCAGACTTCATGACCACAAACTGTATGTGGAATGTTCAACACAGTACGGCTTCTGTTGTACTCAGACCTCAGAATTTTGCACGTTACAACACTCACGATCAAAGTATGTTTCAGTACAGATATATCATTAAAGCCACTATTTGTGTTTACTTTTAGTACTCCTTAATTTTTGTGTAACCAAATAGACTGCTAGATAATGCATACTTATTTAATAATACCCGTCAAAGAAGTCAGTGAAGATAGCTTCTTCTGCAATTTAAAACTGCAAACTGAAATGATGACTGTATTAAAGCATGCAAGAAAATATCTTCAAAATCTACTCTTAATTGCTCTAAATTTAATTCTGCATTGTGTTCATATTCTTCATAGCATACTCAAAATGTATTTTATAATGCTTTTTCTCATTGTTCATAGTTAGATAAAATTATTTTTAAGCATTAGGTTTTCTAAAGAGATCTGGGATATTACTCTTCATTTAAAATATGCCACTCAATGACAAAGATTTCAATTCTGAGCTTTTATACTTAAATAATGCATTGTGATGATTACATTTTTCTTAACTTGATAATAGTTTCTAATGGGGACAAGTCCATATTTCCTTTTAAATAGCATGTTCGGAACCTTAGGTGAGGCAAAAAGAGGCTATTACAGTAGTTAGGCAAAGAATCACTCTTTTCCAGTGTTTACATCAGTCAACATGTTATTAAATTAAACAGGCTTAATATGTGATATAGCATAGAAAGCAGAAGTACTCTGTTTTTTATTTTATATTTTTCTTTATCTTTTTGGATCTTTAAATAGCCCCAAATGTGATGATGATATGTTAAGTTTTATAGTGGCCCTGAGTTTAAATCCTAGCATACGATGTCATGTATCTTATGTTGATAATGGCTCTAGAACCTATTAGTTATGAAGAAAAACAGAAATTAGAATGGAACACTCTCTGAATATCAAACATTATGCTAAGCAATATTTATTGAACATTCTCTACGTCAGACATTTGTGCTCGATACTGTGGCTTCCATTACATAAAATAATATCTCCCTTGTTCATATCACTTCCTTGTGGCTGGAGAAAAAAGTCATTTAATTCCATAATACTTAAAAGGAATGCTCTTTATTTGGAACAAAATGCATGACTTGGCCAACAGAGTTTATTTTCAGTCCTGTTTAATAATCTGAATTTGTATTTTTATCTAGAGTTGGATGAATTCAGTTTCTGTCTTCAAACTAACTTTTTCTCTAGACTGAGCTAGAAAAATAGTAGTAGATGTAAATTCAGTTAAGATGAGTATGAATTGAAATCTACCTTACTGGTTGTTTCTAATCTTGTACCTGGTGAAAGCTGATTGTGGTATTACTCCCATCTCTCCCTTTCCACCTGGCCACTGGCAT